TATGTATGTATAACTATACATTAGAATGCATACCTGTGTATCACATTTCGGTGTCTTTCAATAACTTTTTCATTTCATTTGGCCGGACGATTGATTGAAACGTTACGACTCATTCGTTTATCTTGCTTCGAGTGAACTAACTCGCATTAATGCACCTTTCGGCGCATCGAGGATAGTAAAACTACCCTCGCGTACCTCGCCCGCGTTCCATTCCGAGGGATCGATCCAGTGGGGAAATCAAACGAACTTTTTGATACGTCAATCGCATCACCGTAACGTGCCTCTCACTTACTTTGCCTGCAGTAACTATACAATATCACTATACAATAACATCCGTGTGAGAATTTTTTGCTCGTAACTTTTCAACCGATAGGTTGTATTAAAAGGGAGAGAAGAAGGAACAGCGAAGAGAGGGAAACGAGAGAAAGTGAAATCTAATCTTCTTTTATCATTCGTTCCTAGAAACAGAAAAAAAAGTGTGTTGAGACTGAAAAAGGGGTTAGGGTTGGTGGGGAGGGTAAGGGAGAAAGAGAATAAAGAAGACAGACTTACGACAGAAAGAGGTAAAAAGAAATGTGCGTAGGCCGATGGCGCCTAGACAACCATCCTTTTCATCTACTGCTTGTTTATGCATTCTTCCCCATATAGTCGAATCATTTGAGCAATAGCGGGACATAATCTTACGATTCAAACGGCAGGGTCATGTTTTTATTACCCCCTATTTTTATTACCATTATACCGAAAATCAGATGGATCATTATAGCAGAGAATTACCGTGCAATTTTTTTCTGCCGATGCTCGTCGATAATTTTTAGTGTCCGGTGGTGTACTCTTAGGCGTCACGCTACTCGAATATCTCTCGTTTTTAAATACGGTGTCGCGTTTCTTTATTGCGAACGATTTTTATTTAAATGAAGTTCATGCGATGATTAATCGTCGTGTTTGAAAATGACATATGATTTTTCTCTTGTGATGCAATAACAATTGTCAGCTTGCAAACGATTGAAGATTGTTTTATATGATACAAATTGCTTTGTTCTGTATTTAACTATACAAAATTTTTGAAAAGCTTCTCGAACGCTGATTGGCTTTTGAGACATTTTGTTGAACATATAAGTCAATCGAATTATTAATTATTTTAATTTGCATAGAGAAGAGTATATTGTAATTATATACAAATTACATTTGATTTAATGGTTCACTATCATGACTATCACTTTAAATTAAAATTAAGGGAAAACTTGATTCGATGATTAATCGAATATCCTTACACGATTATTGTATGATACAGTGGCGCCATCTTGTACAGGTTTCAGTGCATTGCAGAAAATTTATTATACCTGGTGTATCCTCCATAGCAGAAAGTACGAAGAGTGAGCAAATTGGCAGAATAAGGACGTAAATAGCTCTCGGACGCATCGTAAAGGATAGCAAACAAATCGCAAGTTGAAAGAAGAAAATAAAAGTGAGGAAGGAAGTGACAAAGAACAGGAAAACAAGTTTCTTCTTCTGGTCAACAGTGTAGCAAATTATTTTATATCTTTCTGCATTTTCGGTGACAAACATCTTAAGGTAATTGTTTTGTTGTTTTGTGGTATTAGTCCTGCATGATACCTTGTACGCAGATACTCATTGTATGCTGCACGTAGCTGTAAGAAAATACCGTTTACATTACGTGTTTTGCTGTATTGATGAAAATGCTTGTGCGTCCCTGACAAGATTTTAAATGAATTTTTTTCTAACCAAATGGTAAATATATGAAAAAGAAAGTTTTTGAAATTATTTCTCGAATGATGGATAAATTTTTTGATATACAGCGAATGAAAGGGATGATAATGCGCTTCCTCGATGCACTTTTTTTCAAAATTATACGTATAATTAATGAACGTATTATAAATGGTAGTTGGAAATTTATTCTAGATGCCGAATATCAAGTTGCAAAGTTCCGATGGCGAGGTTTTTGAGGTGGATGTCGATATTGCCAAGTGTTCCGTTACTATAAAAACCATGTTGGAAGATCTTGGAATGGATGAAGATGAAGAAGAAGTTGTACCTCTTCCAAATGTTAACTCTGCTATCCTAAGAAAGGTAATACAATGGGCTACTTATCATAAGGATGATCCGCCACCACCTGAGGACGATGAAAACAAGGACAAGCGTACCGACGATATAAGTTCTTGGGATGCTGATTTTTTAAAAGTAAATGTTTGATTTCTGTTATTATCCTTTTATGATAATAATAATATTATCTTTTTCGATATTATTAGTTTAATTGTTGTATTTTATAATGGAACATGATCTTAAGTTTAATTAAATTTAACTAAATTTACAGGTTGATCAAGGAACATTGTATGAATTGATTTTGGCTGCAAATTACCTTGACATAAAAGGATTATTAGAAGTGACCTGCAAGACCGTTGCCAATATGATAAAAGGCAAGACGCCTGAAGAAGTCCGTAAAACATTTAACATAAAAAATGACTTTTCTCCATCGGAAGAAGAACAAGTTCGAAAGGAGAATGAATGGTGTGAGGAAAAATAAATCATCTGTGTAAAACAATGTTTAAATATTAACATTATTAAATATTGATTAAATATTATTATTAATTAAATATTATTAATTAAATATTATTCATATACAAAATGTCGTAATCTCTGTAATCCTTACCCAATATGTTAGATATTCTATGTAATTTAAAATCTTACTCAAGTATTGCAGAAATAACACAGTACTCTAGAATATCAAAATTTATGCTAATAAATTTGACACACTTGATGCTTCTTAAATAATCAGAAATTAAACTTTATGTAAAAAAGAATTCTATAATCAATATAAATAGTCTCTTGTAAATCATGATATTCTGTGGCTACATTATTAAGTTGATCCCACTTGCAAATTTCATGTAACTTTTTTATATGATTTTTGGAATCATTAGTACAAAATTCTCTTTTCCATCATCTAAAAATTCACATTTTCATAAGTATTTAAATTAAGATATTGAATGTTTAAATTATAGCGTATCTACCCTTACCCATTACAGATTAAATATTACTCAATATTGATTCTTGATATACAAGAGGCTGTCATCATAGGTTATGTTGCATATTCTTTTAACATAATAGGCAAATAATAC